AAATCAAGAAGGTGAGGGGTGGGAAGAAAGGACTAATGCTGTTTTAGCATTGACTAGCTGTGTGTCACAATTCTTAGTCACTCCGTAGCAGTCAAACACAACGAGCCACGTGGCCAGCGGTTCCCAGAGGGCTGCGATTATTTACAATCATAGTAACGAGAGACAGAAATATCTTCCCATCTGTCAAAGGTTGTTGTAAAGGGGATGGCGATCAATTGTTCTCTGTGCCCACTGAGGGTGGGACAAGAACAAATCGGCTTAGCTTGCAGGAAGGGAAACTTAGGTTGGATATTCGGAAAAATGTTCTTCCTTAAGGGTGGTTAAGCATTGGACCCGAGAACCAAGGGAGGTTGTGGAATCCCGTCACTGGACGTTTTTAAGAACAGGTTGGGCTAACTCCTGCCAGGAATGGTCTAGCTATATTTGATCCTGCGTTGACACGGGGGGTGAACTAGGTGACCTCTTGAGCTCTGTTCCAGCCCGACAGCTCTGTGATTAATCGAACCATTTGTTCCATTAAACTGTCTCTCTAAATAAACAGAAACAAATTTTTTTGCTATCTCTTTTGTGGTCTTTGTAAACAATAGCTGACGTTTCTATAGCACTTGCCAGGCTCTTGAGAGGAAGTGGCCTAGTGGTTAAGGCATGGCCTGGGACGCTGGAGCACTGGGTTTAAGTCCCTGGTCTGCTACAGGCTTCCTGTATGATCTTGGGCAAGTCACCTAGTCTGTCTCTGTGCATCAACCCCCCTTCTATACAACGGAGATAACCTCACGGGGCTGTTATGATGTTAAAGAGCATGAGGTGCTCAGATAGTAAGGTAATGGAGGCCAGATATCTATGATAGACAGAGGCCAAAGGGCACGTGATTGATATATAGGTGTGGTCTATAATTAAAAATTAGATCAACCTAGCTATGTCCTGATTCAGGGCTGTGAAAAATTATGTGCCCCGAGCACCATAGTTAGGTCAACCTAACCCCCAGTGTAGACGCGGCTAAATGACAGAAGAATTCTTCTGTCCACCTAGCTACCACCGTTGGGAGCTGTGGATTTACTACAATGATGGAAAACCCCCTTCTGAAGGGAGATGCTGTAGCGCAGACATAGCTTTAGTCCGGGTTATTGAGCCACATTTCCCCTGCCCCTTGAACAGTCTTTTCCACCTGTGCAAAGTAGGTCTAAAATGCTGCCAAATCAGAAAAGTAACCTTTCACACCCACTTTGCGCTCATTTGACCCTGGTGGAAATAACTGCACAAGGTACAGGGCAGCAGAGGATCGAGCACTATGTATAATATAGTGACCACTGCACTCGCCACTGAAATGCTTCCACCTCTGAGCGGGAATGCAGCGGCTGTTTTAGCAACATGGGGCAACACTGCCCAGCAACTGCGGGAGGGAAGTGAAAGATACTGCGTACACTCAACTCAGGGCTGCCAACACTTGTGATTTTTATCACAGCCCTCATGATAATTCGGTGTTTTAAAGCCCCAGCTCCTGGACTCAAGAAATAAAATCTCAGCTTTCATTTTCTTCAAAAAAAGTAAGTTTCTAGCCCTTGGGCTTGCAATAAAAAGCTTGAAAATGTGGCTGCTGGAAGCTCGAAAAGGAGAAGGCAAATCAAAAGAATGCAAATGTATTGTTTAAACACCCTCATGATTTTTTAAGCCAATCTCAGGATATTTTGGGGCCCTGGCTCGTGATTTTTGAATGCCTGGTGGTTGCAACACTGGTAACTGCTGGAGGGAATTTAAGCCTGGGGTATACACAGTTTTTGTACTGGTATCACTATGTCTGTTAGGGGTGTAATATTTTACTGATATAGTGAAACCTGTACTATCGCCAGTGTGGATGCAGTTATGCCTGTATAAAGGTTCCTTTACACTGGTATAACTTATTCCCCTTTCCGCAAAGGAATAAGCGGCACCAGTATAAGCACTTTGATACTAGTATAACTGTGTCCAGACTAGGGGGTTTGCATCGCTGTAACGATACTGGTTATGCATCCGCACACGGGAGCTACAATGTCATTACCCAAAGTGGAATTTGGCCAGGACATTAGGGTTAACACCCTGACTCCTACGTGTGATACCTTGGTAGGTCAGGAGTTGCTGTGGGTCGTATGTATGGTCTGAAAGACGGAACCCAACTCCACTCAGATAAGGGGGCTGCTGGCCTGGAATGACCCTGATTAGCTGGCGATCTGAAAGGATTGCAGTGCAGGGATGTGTTTGCTGCAGGCAAGAGCTTGCGGAGTTGCATGTTCATCTGCTTTTTACAGCCCTGTGGATGTGCTCGGAAGCCAGCCCTGAGAACAGGGGCAGGGAAGGAGGGTGGAGGTGTGGGGAGAGGACGCGGTTAGGGCTCAGCGTTGTAGAGCAAACCCTGCACAGTGACCTAAACCACAGCTTCACACATCCTCCACCCACACGGCAGCCCCCATCCCTTCACTCTGCAGGGTGTTGGCAAATTGCTCTCTGCACAGTTCACGGGGCACTCAGACCAACACCAAATGCCCCTTTAGGTTCAAGAGGACTCATTTTTAGAGCAGCTGTGGCTTCCGCAGAGATCACTGGGAGCGGCACATGCCAATACAGTAGCACCTAGAGGTCCCAACTGAGCTTGGGGCCCATTGTGCTAGGTGCTGCACAAACCCATAGTGAAAGACGGCCCCTGTCCATAAGAGCTTCCAGTCTAAACAGGCAAGTGGATTGGCCAGGGTCATACAGGGAGCCTATGGTAGAGCCAGGAATTAAATCCCTCTTCCCTGAGTTCCAGCGCAGTGCCTTAACCATAAGACCCAGACTTCCTCCCTTTGAAAACCCCCCTCTCCCCTTGCGACAGAGTAATTGATCGGATCTGGAGCCTTCGTTTCTTTGGACTGCTCCTCTCTATTAAGGGAAGCGAAGGGCCAGAATCGGAGCTGACTTGAACTTAACACACATAAAGTGCCAGGAAGCTGTTTGAGGTTAATTATGCATCATGTTTCTGTTGCTACCCCAGATCCAGCCGAGGAATAGGGTTGGAATCTCCCTCCACCCCTCCTCTGTCGATTTTTGAACTAAGGAGATTTACTCATTTGCCTCAGTAGCTGGAAAACTTTGTAGCTCATCTGTCTGAAGGGATCTGGCCCTCACGTTTCAAGGTTTGCTGCGTTCTGACAGCTCGAAAGCAGTCTGTGTTTCAGCTGTTTTGAGGAATGACCTACAGCATCTTCCTGTGCCAGGCCGTTTGGTGAGGAGATATTTGTTACAGCGAAGGCCTCGAGTTCGAGGTGGGGCCATGAACTGAAACGTCTGCTGGCCTCCAACAGACCTGAGCTGTGTTGGGGGTAGGAGGGCTTGGATGAGGTTCGAAGCTGTGCGGTTCTCTGGCCCATCTGTGCTCGGGCTGAATTTTGTAACGTCAGGAAATGAGCTGGTGAGGGGTAGGCGGCTCAGCGAGAGGAAGGCTGGCTTTGTGGTTAAAGCGGAGGACTCGGACTCAGAAAAAGTGGGCTCCGTTCCCAGCTCTGCCACGGACTCCCTGCGTGACCTTGGACCAATCACTACACTGAAAACGTAGGTCGGCCTTGCTACCTCGCTCAGGGGTGTAAAAAATTCACACCCCCTTCCAAGAGACATAGTTAAGCCGACCTAAGCCCCGGTGTAAACAAATGCTTGGCCAATGGAAGAATTCTTCCACCAACCTAGCTACTGCCTCTCCCTGGGGTGGATTCACTACGGCGATGGGAAAAACACCTTCGTTCACTATAGCAACTGTCTACACTACAGCGGCCCACCATGGGGCCTCCATTATGTCTACACTACAGCCCCCTACGGCGACACAGCTGTAGCGCCGTAGTGAAGCCGCTTCCTACATCTGTGGAAGGGGCTTTTCGGTTGACGTACTTTATCTACCTCTCCGAGAGGCGGTAGGAAGAATCGTACCTGGGTTCCTGTCTGTTTCGAGTCACAAGGGAAACGAGTTTGGTGACGTCGTTGAGTCCCCAGTGGGATGCACGGCCTCCGAAACCAGGGCCTGATTTCCAGAGGTGCTGAGCAGACGCAACCCGAGTTGAAGTCAATGGGAGGAGCTGCCGGGGCTCAGCGCCTTTGCAAACCAGCCCAGGGTGGCCTCTGATGGGCTTCCACCTCTGGAGTACTTGGGGTGAGGCAGATCCCAGAGTGATGTGCAGCGGCCGCGCTCTGTGTTTGGTAGGGCTGGTTGACAACTTTCCATTTGAACTGTGTTTTGACGGGACACTGGGGTTTCGAGTCAATTCAACGTTTCAGCAAAAGTGTCAGTTTTCCATAACAGATGTTAATTGAAGCCCAAACCCTAAAATATTTCAATTTGGCTGTGCTGTGGCAGTTCCTTGTGGTATTAGTTGTTCGACTGTCTCATGTCCCCACTCCCCAGCATGGGCTGGTCTCCCCTAGCCACACGGCATTTCCCATCGTGCACCGGGACTTCCCAGAGAACTCCAGACTTACGCTGGTACGGCCGAGAGCAGAATGTGCAAACCGCACAGACCTGAAGCGTTCGCTGCAGTGGGTTATGCAATCTTTGACTGCTCAGGCTCTGTAACACCTGAATTCAACCTGGGGCACTGTGGGCTATTCAGCTGTGTCTTTCAGTCCACCAGCTAGTCCTGAACAGCTGGCAGGGTGGACAGCTGGTTTTCCATTTCTTAAAGCTTCAAGATCATATTTTTCTTTCTTTCTTTCAAACCTGCAAGGTCTTGTATCCCTCAGCTCCAAGGAGTAGAGGGCCCTTAGTACCTTGCAGGATCAGGGTCTTAGCTGCCGTTCTGTCAGGATTCTTGTAATTAATTGTCAGCCGGGTCAGAACAAATCTCTGGAGTATGAACCTTGAGATCCCAGCCCTTCAGGGACGAGGGATGCCCTAACAGGACAGGAACCCTGATTCCCGGTATCCCCTTGTACCCAGGGCAGGACAGACTATGCACTTTACCTGCATTCGTCACTTTATCCCCTTGGAACTGACGGGCATTTTCCTTTTTCAGTTTGATTGACGGGCAATGGCTACAAATTGCTGTCTGGAGTGAGCTGAAGATGCAGCCATCTGACTAACAGGTAGGAGGGAAAATCCCTATTTAACACCCACTATTGTTTTTTGTTTATTTTTTTTTTTTGACAAAGAGAAGACTTTTGGGAACAGATCCCCAATGGGGGGGGGAGGGGTCAATTGGGGCAGCTCCAATGGGCCAGATCCCTATCTGGTGCAGATTAGTGCAGCTCCCGAAAGAAGGGGCGTGTGGCTAGTTTACACCAGCTAAGGATCTGACCCCTCATTATTAACTAGGGTTTTGTTTCAAGGCAGAAAGCCATGGGGGGGGGGAAAATAGCTGGTTTCCTCCCTGTCCAGTGTGGTGTTCTGTAAATGGGGCATTGCGCCATTGATGTCAATGGGCCCGATCTCCAGCGGGGGCAAACCAGAGTCGCTCCATTGAAATTCAGCTGAAGACCTGCTCCAATATCTCCAGGGCATCTTCCTTCTTAACGGGACAAGATCGTGGTTCTCTGGCTTGTATTTTGTAAGCCTCCATTTCCCCGCAGAGCCCTGGCCAGTTGGTCCACGGGGCAAAAGGTTCTGGGACCCCAGCATTAGTGGGAACTGGGCGGGGGGGGGGGGGGCGGTCCACAGGGTAAAGGATGAAGTGGTTTCAGGACAGAATCTCTCTCCTGCCTGGGCTGCGTGGAAAACCTGGAGAACGGCTCGGTTTAGGGAGTGTGCCTCCTCTGTGCTCCACCCTTCCAATTATGGCACTGTCTTCCGTCGGGGGCTGCTGTTTGCTGAGAGCGAGCGAGAAGGCAGAAATTTCCCCTCCCTATTTGGAAGGAGAGGCTGAGCTGAGATCACATTTCCTGTGGTCAAACTGGAGGGGGTAGTAGCAGTTTGACGTGCAGCTATTTCAGAGCACGAGGCTGCCCACCCCCTAGGCGGCTTCGCCAGCCTCCGCTGGTGAGCCCTGCGTGGGGGTTATGGCAAAATCTCCGTTTGTTACCGGTTGCAGGCAATAGGTGGTACAGTAACTGCCTAATCTGCCTTGAATGCAGGCTGAGGATTCAGGTCATAGAGAGAACTTGTATGCTGGGGTGGAATGAGGGAGGGCTCTGTAGCTGAAACGAATGGGACCGTGGCCTGGGAGCAGCTAAGGGATTGTCCTAGGGTCAAATGAGAGAACGGGTGCCACCCCCACAGCTTTTGGGGAAAGGCACCTATCCTTTTAAGTGGCTAATGGGATCCAGAGCCTCTGAGGCATTGGTTTGAATCCGGCCCAGGTGTGTAGTGAGTGAATCCATTGCCGTCTGAGGGGTGCTGCGTGGTCTTTGTGTGAAACTAGTTAGCTGGGGCACAGCCCAGGCCCCAGCTGGCAGTGGTCCTGCTTGCCACCCGCTGGCACTAATTAGCCCTGGTGCAGTCAGTTACACTAGTACAATGTGGGAGTGAAGCGCTACCGGGCCAGAACTGTACAGCCACTTTGCACGGGTGCAAATGACTGCACGAGGTGCAGGGCAGGAGGGGGAGCAGGCTCTGAATTCCCCTCGTCCCTGAAAGGGAGGGTCCCACCGGACTCAGAAGTGTGGCACATTGGCAGGGGGCCGTCTGCATGGGAATCGCACCTGGCCAATGGCCATGCTGTACCTGTTCTAAGTGTGTGTGTGTGTGTCTGTAAACAGAGGTCTTCAGTCATCAGGGCATTCACAAGCAATTTAAGGGGGCCTTAAAGTGACCTTAAATTATAGTTGCTTCCACTTTAAGGCCCCATTGCACCGCTCTGGCAGCATAAAGGGGCCTTAGTGTAAATGAAAATCTAGCCATGAATCCACATGACAGGCCAGATTCACAGTTATGCTAGTCTGGCAGTGCAAAGGGGCCTTTAACATATATGCAACTGTAATTTCTTCCTGTTTTAATAACAATGATAATCCCTACCTCTTATATACTGTACCGCTTTTCATCCGTCGCGCTCAAAATACTTTACAAAGGAGGTCCGCATCATTATCCCCATTTCACATGGGGAAACCGAGGCACAGAACGCTGAAGCGTCATGTCCAAGGTCACCCAGCAGACCTGTGACAGAGCCAGGGACAGAGCCCAGGTGCTCTATATACTAGGTTACAATGCTTTTAAGGCCCCTGTATGCTGCCAGAGAGGCGTCAAGCGGCCTCAGGGCTTCTTTATACACCCACTACACACGGTCAGACTGAGAGGACATTTGCATTAACGAGCAGAGGACAGAGTGGAGAGTACACTTCTACAATTTATGGATGGCATCAAGCCGGGAGGGTTGCAAGCACTTTGGAGTGCAGGCTGAGAACTCAAAATGATTGTGATAAACTGGAGAATTGATCTGAATTCAGTCGGGTGGAATGCGGTAAAGAGAAGGGAAAGTGGTACATGTGGGAGGGGAAAATCAAATGCATAATACACAATGGGGAGTAATTGGCTTGGTGGCGGTACTGCTGAAAAGGATCTGGGAGTTATCGTGGATCAGAAATTGAATGTGAGTCAATGGTGTGAAAAAAGGCGTTCTGGATGTATTCACAGGAGCGTCATATGGAAAACGCTGGCTGTAACTGTTCCGCTCTACTCGGCACTGGTGAGGTCTCAGCTGGAGCAGTGGAACAGGTTACCAAGGGAGAGGCTGTAGCAGTCTCATCACTGGAGGTTTTAAAGAACAGGTTAAACAAGCATCTGTCAGGGATGGTCTAGTTATATTTAATCCTGCCTTGGTCTAGATCAGTGTTTCTCAACAACTGGTCCGTGGACCGGCGCCAGTCCCTGAGATCTCCCTGGCACAGTTTAGGATGGCAGTAAGCCGGTCCCTGGTATCAAAAAGATTAAGAAATACTGGTCTAGATAACATCTTAAGGTCCCTTCCAGCCCTACATTTCTATGGGTCTATGGAAAGTTGTACCATTTTAACTGTCCTGGTACAGATAAAGGGATATAACCCACATCTGTGGAAGCAGTTCTACTGGTATAAAAGCGCTTGTACTGGTATTGCTATTCTCATAAAGGAAGGAGAATAAGCGATACTGGCGTAAGGCACCTTTATACTGACACAGCTGCATCCACAGTAGGGGTTGTACTGTATTTTGGTAGAAAATCACAGCTCTAAATGACATAGTTTTCCCAGTACAAAACCTGTGTGTAGAGCACACCTGAGTGTAATTCGGAATCAGGCCAGTGTCATTGACACTAATTCAAAGTACCTGCACTAGTGCAAAGTGCCACTGTAGTGTAGACATACCCAGTCGTGGTTTGGTAGTGTTTTACATCCACTCTGCACTGGTTTAAGTGGATACACAACCTGAAGAACAACATAGAATCAGATCCTTAAATCTTCTAACAACAAGGCTCTCGGATGTGGGTGAGTATCGGGAAGGATTAGGGTGACCAGATGTCCCGATTGTATAGGGACAGTCCCGATTTTGGGGTCTTTTTCTTATATAGGCTTCTGTTACCCCCCACCCCGTCCCGATTTTTCACACTTGCTGTCTGGTCATCCTAGGAAGGATACTCATTTAAAAGTTCTGTAGCTAGCCAAAGAGTCCCACAAAAAGCACTGAGTGGACGTCTCCTAGCCTTTATTCCTCCAGCCACCTCCTGAATTGAATATGTCCTGTTAACAAGGCTGTAAATTCCCCATGTCAAAAGACATTGCGATAAACAAAGAACAAGATGAGCGCAGATTTGGCCACAATGGCTGGGCTTGTTAATGCAAGAACTCAGGCGTGGGCAGAAAACCTGGTCTTCTGCTGTGCCAGCTTGCAGGGGTCCGGGAGCAGTGCTGATTAGATAACTACAGGGCCAGATCCTGAGCTGGTGTGAATCAGCTGCAGCTCCTCTGAAGACAGTAGAGCTAGGCAGAATGACATCAGCTGGGTATCATGTGCCTCTTAGGACCAAGATCTGAATTCCCGTTTACACTAAGGCCTTTTATGCCACTGTGGTAAAGTAAAAGGGTCTTAAAGTAGTTATGAGTGTAACAAATTGACACTCACTTCAATGCCCCTTTGTAAATAAGAATCATGCCCCAGATGTCTGTGTAAAGGTGTGGCCATGAAGCTATTGGATGGAAGAGCAGAATCTCCGAGCATCTATTTCTCTGTCAAATAATTCGTTGCCTTTATGTGAAGATCTCTCACCTGAGGCTTTCAGAGTGCTCTGCAAACGTTTGTTACAACCCAGAGAGAGAAGTATCATCACCCTTTTATAAATGGAGAAACTGAGGCACAAATATAGTGATGGGAGTTTCCCACAACCACACCGAGATTAGGTGGCAGACCTGGGTACAGAACCCAGTTTTTTTTTTCTGCTCTAACCACTGGACTCCACTCCTCTCCAATGCCAGGAGCCCCGACACCCTGTCCTCTGCTCTAACCACTAGCCAACATTCCCTTCCCGTGAAAGCAGATTGTATACTTGTTCTCATCCATCATGAATCTGAAATACTGTATAAGTGTGAAAAGACTCTTATCCTGTCCCTATCTCCTTCCCTTCCCCGGAAATGAGGACTGCTGATGGCATTAACGGGGCGGGGGGGAATGTCGGAACCATTTAAAAGAGGGTATTTTTTTTCTAGAACTCGTATCCCTGTTTATTGCTGTTACAGTAAATGTTTGCATCTCCATTGTCTGTAATGAGGTTGTGGGTAGAGACGAGGCCGGGTAACCGTTTTATGAGGGTTCTATGGTTTCATGTAATGTATATTCTGTATCTGATATTAAAATCAATACAAGGAGAGATTTTAAAAATAATCTGACACCAGCTCTCGAAGTGGGCGGTGGGGGGGGGGTATTTTCTCTGCTGAGCAAGCAGGTTTTGCTGGAAGTTCAGAAGAGGATTGAGATGGCTCTTTCATATCAGATCGGGAGCAGATAATATACTTGAGATCATAGTGGCTGTATATGGAAAAGACCGAGTGAGGTCATTGTCCGTTCCCTTGCAAGGTCAAGATGGAGGTCCTAATTCTGATCTAGTATAAATCACGGAGATATGCCAGTGTAGAATCAGTATAAGATCCCGTAGTATCTCACGAGATGGAAGATCTGCTGGATCGTAA